AACTGGCGGTCAGTTTCAGCAGCGGCTGAATCTGGACGCCAGTTCCGACTTACATACAGATTCAACTTAAGAACAAACCTACAGTCCCTATCTTGTACGTAACCCAGGGACTGCCTGTACTTCAAAGTGGCAGCACTGCACAGCTGTGCAGCGCTACCGCTTTGAACCCCAACGCGGTTGCCCCTTTAAAACACCACCTCTATGCGTTTCCAAGGGGCAGTTGTGGAGCCCAGGCCCTGAGCAGAGTATCATGGAGCCCCGCTGACCCAGGGCTGCATGGCCTTGAAATGCACAAGAGCCCCTGCTGGGGGCTCTTGTACATTTCAAATCAGGCACCCGCATGCAGCCCAAGAGTCAGTGGGACTTCCCACCAGCCCTGGGCTGTACGGAGTTCAGCATTCCTCCTTTGAAATGCCAGTTAATCGCATTTTAACTTCCCCAGTTTAGCAAACTTCACCACAACATACATTTAATATATTCTGCATGTACAAAACAGGTTACAGCATAATTACTAGTTCAGTTTCCCCAATATGGTGCATGAATACACTGCATTATAGGCAATTCAGATGTGTAGAAGTACACCCATTTTTCCGAACTACAACAGTTTTCTACAGAAACCATCATCACAGCACCTGTAATGGCTCTGTAATACGTTAAGTGTTGACCTGCTTATTGGGATATTAATGGTATGAAGATATTTAACGTGGTGGGGATTATCAGGAAAAATAAGCAGGAACATGTTAGCCAAACCATACTCCCAGGATGACTTGCATGACTTCCTACAGAACAGCCAATAAAAAGTACGCTCTCTACAGGATTCCAACCTAAGCAAGCGCTTATAAACCCTTTTAGTTAGAAGATTCTACATCTTTCCGACAGGGCTGAAAAGCCATCTCACTGTCTCTTCAACATCTCCACCACACTGCAAGGGCCACCTGCCAGAGAACCCTCTGCCAAGGAGTATTGGAGAGCCATGCTTTTTGCATATTTAAGTGAGGCAGCTGCAAGATTCTAATCTCAGCCATTTCCACTGACTGCATTTCTATAGCAAGCCAAATGGCCCAGACAAGTTTCCATGGGAACAGGCAGACAGCCTAACATTCCTGAGCCTAGATCCACTAGGGGCCACTCAGCAAATAACCCCAACATGCTAGACAGCCAACCAAAGCATACCTCCATGAGCCCTGTGAAGCTCCATCAAGAGCGGAATTTACAGGTGAGCATTAGAACTAGGGATGTAAGCAACACCCACAACACCCCTAACAAGTGGAGTTCCTCAAGGGTCTGTTTTGGGACCCGTACTGTTCAATATCTTCATCAATGATGTAGATATTGGGATAGAGAGTACGCTTATTAAGTTTGCAGATGATACCAAACTGGGTGGGGTTGCAACTTCTTTGGAGGATAGGGACATAATTCAAAATGACCTTAGCAAGTTAGAGAAATGGTCAGAGGTAAACAGGATGAGGTTTAATAAGGAGAAATGCAGAGTGCTCCACTTAGGAAGGAACAATCAGTTCCATACATACAAGATGGGAAGCGACTGTCTAGGAAGGAGCATGGCGGAAAGGGATCTAGGGGTCATAGTGGACCACAAGTTGAATATGAGTCAACAGTGTGATGCTGTTGCAAAAAAAGCAAATATGATTCTAGGTTGTATCAACAGGTGTGTTGTAAGCAAAACTCGTGAAGTCATTCTGCCGCTCTACTCTGTACTAGTTAGGCCTCAGCTGGAGTACTGTGTCCAGTTCTGGGTGCCACATTTCAAGAAAGATGTGGAGAAATTGGAAAGGGTACAGAGAAGAGCGACAAGAATGATTAAAGGTCTAGAGAAGCCTATGAAGCCAGGCTTCATGAACTGGGCTTGTTTAGTTTGGAAAAACGAAGATTAAGGGGGGACATGATAGTGGTTTTCAAATATCTAAAAGGGTGTCACAAGGAGGAAGGCGAAAATTTGTTCCTCTTGGTTTCTGAGGACAGGACAAGGAGTAATGGGCTTAAAGTGCAGCAGGGGAGGTTTAGATTGGACATTAGGAAAAAATTCCTAACTGTCAGGGTGGTCAAATATTGGAATAAATTGCCAAGGGAGGTGGTGGAATCTCCCTCTGGAGATATTTAAGAACAGGTTAGATAGACATCTGTTAGGGATGGTGTAGACGGAGCTTGGTCCTGCCTTGAGGTCCCTTCCAGTCCTATTATTCTATGATTCTATGGCGATGGAGGGGGGGAGGGGGAGGAGGGAGAGGAGTTCCCAACTGCTGCACCTCTGCCTTTGGGGCTCTTGCTACATTTCAAAAGGCAGAGGCACAGCTGGGATAGCAAGCACTCCACTTTCCCACCCCTAATCAATGGAAATTCCATTGACTGCCTGATTAGGTGATTAACTGTAATTTAACATCCCTAATTAGAACCTGTTAGCTAGTCAGAAGCAAGCATTAACATGCCTGAAGAGTGTAGGAGGTGTCAGTCTACACGCTTCAGCACACTGTAGGCTTAGCATACATCAAATGTGTCAGCCAACTGGAGTACCTCGTGTCCTACAATGGGAACTCCTCCACTAAGCAACACAACTTTCCCTCTAGGGGAGATAACAGGAAAGCACTGACAAAATTAATGAGTGACCAAAACCATCCAAAATCAGTTGCACATGCATTGCAACTGTTTTCCAGCCTGTGCACTA